GGGAAAAGCCCTAGTGGGACATTTGGGAGCTGCCAAGGCTTTTCAATAACACCACTAGAGGAATGTAAACGAAGCCGGCTGCTCCAGTCAGCTAAGGGACAAAGGCAGGAAGTGAGTATTCCTCTCTCACACAAACACCAGGCTCTGCCACTGGAGAGTAAACCTAGCCATGGCTTCTCAGGTGGCCCCAAGAGCCACTGCTGAGGTGAAGGTCTGTTCTGAATTTTCAGCGTAAAGGACTCACTGAGTGGTCAGTCCAGGCTCCAAGCTCACTGTCCAGCTCGTTCAACTGAGAGCCACTGAGGACAGGCACTGAGGCACCACCGCCCGGACCCTGGCTGAAGACTGGCTGCAGGGAGAGAGACACCGAGTGCCCAGCTTCCAGGCCACTGATCAGTGGGGCTTGGTTGAGCCACTGGCACTCTCGCAGCTTTTGCTCTACTTGGCCACAGGCCAGATCTTGGCAAGATGGAGGGTCCGACCGAGATGGAGGCTCCTTCCTCCCCTTCCCGCCTACCCTGTCCCCTCTCCATTTATTTAGTCAAACTACCCTTCCTATTTGTTTGCTTCAGGTCACAAGTGCAGACCCACAGGAGAAGCAGAGGGACACTTACACGGGCACCCACTACTCACAATTCCAATTTACGAGAGACTTCGCTTATTCAAGGCATGGGTTCTCAACACCAAGCTGCTACGACAGTTAGCCACAAAAGCCTTCTAATCACTACCTCTCTTCCTCTCCTTTCTGGCAGCTGAATGAGACAAGGCGAAGTGGACTTCAGCTCTTAGTAAACAAGATCTCGTTATTATAATTATTTTACAGCCAAACTGACTGAAGAAGGAGAAAATGACTCACCCCTGGGGACCTGTCAGGTCAAGGCCAATCCTGAGAAATGCACGTCACCTTTTTGCTGGTTCTTTAAGTGGCTCCAATGACGGCAGGTCTGTCTTTTGAATGCTTTTCCTCTTTACTAAGAGGTAAAAGCCAGTGGGGCGGCTCTGTGTCTGGATCCAGGGAAAGTCTCTGAATATTTCCATAATTATCTTTGTATTACCAGGGATTTTACAAGCTGGACAGAAAAACTCGATTCCAGGCTCTGGCTTGACAATTCAAATTACATGAATTTTTAAATTTTTTTTCTTTAAGCATTTTGTATCACTGTCCAGCACTGATTTTCCCTCAGTTGATAGTGAACCTTTTTTTTCTCTTAAGTTTTAAGATTATGCAATTTTTTCATTGAAAAGAGAAACTAGTTCGTTGGAAGAAATGAGAGGCAAAGAACTGTATTCCCAGCCCTCTTACTAATAAGTGTATTTTTAAATAGAATTGGAAACAACATTCAGTACCTCAATTTTCCCAGGAGTAATTTCCCAGGACCATCAAATAATTTTTTTTTTTTTTTTTTAATCAAGGAGCATTTCTGCCACTCCTAGGACTGGCCCAACAATGGGGTTAATTGCACTGGAGGTCCACCCCTTGCATCCTTGGAAAACTGGTGCCTCCCAGAGACTCTCGCCATATCCACGCTGCATTAGCTTTGCTGGTGTGAGAGATAAGCCTAGGAATCCCCCGGGCTTACACCAATGGGTTAACAAAGCATAAAGAAATACAAAGCCATAAAATGCTCACACCCAAGTTTGGGTAAACCAGACTGGCACCCCAAGAATAGGGGGGTGCAAAGACACACCAAGAATAGGGAGGTGCAAAGGCACTCCAAAATAGAGAGGGGGTGCAGAGCCCCCAGAATAGAGAGAGAGAGGCAAAGGCCTAAAATAGGAACAGGCGCAAAGGTGCCCAATACATAGGTATATGAAATAAACAAGATTAGATATTCAGGGGGAAGCGCCCCCAATTTAGTACTGTAGCAGAAAAGCTGCTTTCATGGGAGGATAGGTCCAGGTTAGGTAAACTGGTGAATTGGACTATGGATGGCTGCGTTGCAGGCAAAACAGCCCAGAGCGGAGATGGTTAAAAAAAGAAAAGGTGCCTTGTCAACCCTCAGGTTATTTCCCCTGTCTGTCTGGTCCCTAGGCTAGCTAAGATAAACAGAGGTGCTGCCTCATGTCCGCTGTAAACAACTCTCCTCCCGACTGCCTGGCGCCCAGATTTCCTTTTGTATTAACCCAAACCCCTAACCCCGAATATCCTCAAGACCCCCTTTCCCTCCCATCCACAAGTTAATGTTCACAAATTCACTGTCCCTTTGTGCACGTCCATCGCCATGTTTGTAAGCCTTCTGATCCTAATAAAAATGGGGCAAGGACCCTTATTTGGGGCTCTTGTCTTTTCCCGGACATTAGCCATCTCTCGCTTTCAATCCTGCATCCCGCTCTTTTGCTAGACAAGAGAGAACGTTAGACCCAGAGTCTACGACATGCTGGTGCCCCCATGGCGAAGGTGTGAACACTTCCACCAAGGGCAATGCACGCCACCTTGGGCAACAGGTGGGAAGCTCAGCTGTCAAGAAACTCCTCCTTTACTTGGATGGGAAAATGTCTCTGTCACCTCCCACCCATCACCCTCATTTTACTCCTTGGGCCATTCAAGGATTAGCTTCCTGCTTCTCCAGCTTGCATTTCCCTACAGACATCCCTATTTTTTCCCTAGGTAACCACTTCTCTTAAGCATGGCTCAGTCCTCAAGGCTGGTGCGCTCTGCCCACCTGGAAACATGGCTGTGAAGGGAGAGAGGGTGGCTACCTCCCAGGCCAGTCTCTTTTGACATTTCAAAAGTATGTGTCTTGGGGCACCTGGGTGGCTCAGCCAGTTAAGCAACCAACTTCAGCTCAGGTCATGATCTCAAGGTTCATGGGTTCAAGCCCCACATCTGGCTCTGTGTTGACAGTTCAGCGCCTGGAGCCTGC